TGTCATGTTTCTTGTGTGCACCAGTACATAGTGGGGCTGAAGTTGTCATATCTTTTCTGACATATCTTAACTATTTTGGCAGCGTTGCTTTCATACAGAACTTGGAAAATCCCCTTATTACTTCAACTTAAAACCCTTTGGGAATTCAGTTTCCCTGAATCTATAGATTTCCTGAATCTATACATTTCCTGGAATTAGCTAAAGGAACTTTCTTCTGCTACTACAAAGCCCTGTGCCCTTTCTAAGCCAGACAATTCCATGGATCATTTTGGTCTTTTCAATTACACAACCATAATTTGCTAATGTGTCATTATTGTCCTCAATTGCAATCTTTATAATGTTCACAGTGCCAACTCTAGTTTTCAGTGTACTGAATTGAGATACTAATAATGAGAATCCTCTCTCGCCGCCCCTCCCCAGTTTTGATGCTGAAGAGAGCATTTTCCTTTTCAAAATCAAATGTGCTGTAGGTTTTAGAATATTTGACACATTTTCTCCACTGAGGAGACAAAGGGGAGAACGGTGCTCCTTACCAACCTTGCCATGCACTCTTTCTGCCTTTGCCTTATGAACCCACACCACCAAAGGATCAGTGTCCCTGTCTCAGACCCTGACAGATTTAAAAGATGCTTAATTTCCTTCAGTGACATGACAACTACCAAGTGGGCAAATGAGCTCTAAATACACATTTTGTTGGTGCTTAGTTATTGAAACAGTTGTCATAGTAAACTCTCCTGGGACTCAGATATCCCCACTGAATCATTCTAAGGCAGGAAATAGGTCTGCTGTGATCATTGCACGTCACTAAAGAGCAGTACTCGATCTCCCATGTAGGAGGTGCCCAGTTCCCCTTAAGGTCACTTCTCCCTGTGAATCTGTTTCCTGTGACTCTCACTAGAACTTGGTCTGTTCTCCACGACTGCTAGTCTTTACTACTTGCTTGCCAGTACTCATTGAGGATGCTGGCAGGACTAGTGACAGGGTCTATCCATAGGTAGCTGCTTCAAGAAAGTTGAGTCGTCTGGCTTTGAAGAGCTGAAACCTTGAACTGGGTTCTGACTCTATGGCATGAATTAAACTAGCAAATGATAGTAGTCCTGAAAAATCAATGCCTATTAGGCTTGATGGCACGAACCTGTAATCCTCGTGCTCAGGAAGCTGAGAAAGTGGGATTGTTAGCTGGAGGCCAGCCTGGCCTACATAGTGACTGTCTTAAACAAAACAGAAAATTAGAGCAGAGAGGAAAAATCTATTGCCAGGGGAGGACTAAATCTCATGCTGGTTCCTGAATATTCCAGCATGATAATAGAGATGCTGTGTTACCAACAAAACAGATTTTTTTTTCGCCTTTTGTAGCAGTCATAATTATCTTTCTAGTTTATCATAAACTGATTTCTAACCATTAGGCCTCTTTTGTTGTTGTTTTGGATTTTTGTTTGTTTAGGATTTTTTTTTTCCCCGTGGTCGTTTTTATTTGCTTGTATGTCTCATCACACCTGCCATCCTTCCTTGGGAAGTCACGAGCACATTTGACTTACAGCTTCCTTTGGTTGCCTGGCTTTACTGGTGGGATAAGACTGCTCTTCCCAAATAGCCACATTTCTGTTTGATCTGTCTGGCATGTGGTGGAATCCACATTGTAACTTCTAAATATACTAAAGATGGAGCTATGTACAGAATGTGGAGACTTCATTTGCATGTTGCTTCTAAGATGTTGCTCTGGATCTCTTACCGGTTTCACAGCAGCCAGTCCTACCATCTGCTCGGGGAGACCAGCTAACCAGCCAGCTGACAGCAGCAGGCTTTTTATAACTACCTCCTCCATGAGGGCAGGAGTGCATACATACTCTATAGGGGATTGGCTTTTCCCAGATCAAATTTCTTCTTTTCCCCTTACTTAAAAAGCTGTATGGTCCTCCAGGGACAAAAATGCTCGGATCTTCATTGAGAATGATCTTTGAACATACATTTTTCCCTAAAAACTAATTCTTCAGTTGGATGGTACAAATGTGGCAGACCATGGAGTCCATTGTTATCAGCTGACAGGACCCATCCAATATGCATTCATGGTACATGGTTCATGTCCTAAAGATAACACAGAGCTGCCTTGTCCGATCAAAGCTCTTACAGTGATACTTAAAAATTAATTGAATTCTCAAGAATGCCACTTTTAGCTACTGTAGTTGATGATCCAGTACCTCAAGAGGTTCATTAAAAATTGTACAGCTACCTACAGCACGGCCTGAGTCTCAGCCGTGCTGTGGTCCTGAGTGTGTGTTAAGGAGAGTTCATCAGCTGTTGCATTTATTAAGGTCATCTATTAAGTGTCGTGTCACGTCCTTGCTGACTTACGCATGTCTGTCTGTTTCCCTCTAGGAAAGGAAGAGTACATCGCCACATTCAAGGGCTCTGAATACTTCTGCTACGACCTGTCACAGAACCCCATCCAAAGCAGCAGCGACGAAATAACCCTGTCCTTTAAAACTCTTCAGAGGAATGG